CCATGAACACAGGGTACTTTACTTCCATCCTTCCCCTACATCAGTCTCTTCAATCCCATGTGAAAATCACTGCCTGGGAAGTGCCTGCACTCTTTCTGGTTGCCAAGGTCAGAAGTGGTGAGTGGCTGTGGGCACAAGTGAATACAAGTGAATACAAGTGAGAAATCTTGTATTCACTTGTGTGTTTTCCAAAATCTTACTATTTTCCCTCTCTGGTTGTATTGATTCAAATGTCCATTGACAATTATATTTCTTCATGCTCATCTGGCTGTGCTAATGGACTCCAGAACATAAAATTTATCATAACCATGATCAAGGTGCTCAAATATTTTGGTTGAAAGGGAATAAGTGTTTAGATAATGTGGGGAGGTGGTAAGTTGCAGAGAGACAGATACAGAGACAATAAAGAATAATGGTTTTTCTTAAGATCATTCGGCAATGGAATTGGTGATAGTATATCTATATGGATCTATATAATGGGTTGGCGTGTATGGGACTGAAGCGTGAGATAGAGCTACAGTACTTAATAGTTCCCAGACTGACTTACTGTACAGTTCTATTTTGGAGAAGACTTAGAATTTTTGTTTTTGCATTTATAAGAAAATATTAAGTACTGTGACAAAAAATATTCAAGATATAATATTAAATGAAACTAAAAAAACAGTTGTGAATTGGTATATGCAGTTTAATTCCACTTGAATTAAACTACACAGAATTAAAATTATATGTAAATACTACATAGAATTAAAATTAACTACATAGAATTAAAATTATATGTAAATGTGCTAAGTTGTACACAAATATATCCTAGATGGAAATAAATTTAAAAAAACCCCATAAATCATGATTACCTCTGGACCAGAGAAAGGGAAGAGGGAAAGGCTAACTTTTTTATTTATACCCTTCTGTACAGATTTTTTTTCCTTTAAGCATTTTATAATCTGAAAAGTCTAATTTTATTTTTTTAAAAGTGAACAGCATCTTTAAAAAAAGGGCAGGGGATGCTGACTTGAAAGATAATGAATTTCCAATCATTGGAAGCAGTGGAGCAGAATTTTGGGGATGATTTGTGAGGAATGCTGTCTTTTAAAATTACCTCCTCACTGTAAGGTCTTGTGAATCAGTTTTATTTGAAGGACTTAAAGCTACCTACAGAGTCCATGAGACTTCCCAGCGTGTTTCCATCTGGGAAAATTGAGCAGTAAAGTGGATAAAATTCACCCCTTGTCTCAGATTGGCAAGGAAATGATTTCTCTTGAAGGATTTTTTTTTTCACTTTTTTTTTAGGGTGGGAGATTTTTAGCTAAAAATTCCAGAATCTAAGGGACCAAAATTGGGGTAGTGTTGCTCTCCATGGTGATGTGGTTCCACAGAAGGAGACTGCTATATTGTCTCTGCCCTAAATAACCTTCTGGTCCCAGTGGGGTCACTCTTCAGATAGATTCTGAGGTATGAGAAGAGAGAAGATGGAACTATAGGAATTGAGCTTGAGCTCAATCCAACTTTCTCTCTTCTATAGCTAACCTTGCTTATTCATTTTTTTTCAATTCTTTTAGTGTAGGTAGGACTGATTTTCCAGTTGCAAAAGATTGGAGTTTTATCTTGCTCAGTAGTATATCTTGAATCTAAGTGAAACAGGAAGGTTAAGGATTGACCTATCAATACAACTCCAAGGAAAATGAACACCTATTTTGCTCTAGATTTTTTTCTGTATTATGAAAACATTTTATATTTTTCTGTTCTTCAAAATCTATAGCAAATAAATTCTAAAATCTGCCCCCATTCAAGAATATGTAACTCACTGTAAGAATGGTCAGAATTGATACTATCTTTATTTAAAATTTTAATATATTGTTCTTTCTGGATTTTTGGATTACTTTTTTAGAAAAAATATTGTCTTAAATTCTATTTGTCTTGACTATGGAACTCTTTTGGTGTTTCCTTAAATTTGGCATCAAGATGAGACCTCACTTGCCACACTCTACCTCCAGCACCATTCAGAAAGGTCTTCTTTTCATCAACTGCAACCTTTCTTTAAACACTGTGGTTAGTTCTCCAAGGATCTGGCCTGTGGGTGCTCAAGTTTCTGAAAGTGCTTGTTCATACTGTAAGGAGATCTTAAATCACGCAGTCAACTTTCCTTTCTCCATGGGAAATAACCTACTGTGTTCACCATTTCCTCTCAATCAATCCTGCAGACTTATTATACAGTTCCATTTGGGAGAAAACTTGGAAATTTTGCTTTTGTGTTTGTAAGTGAGAAGAAAATCTGGTTGTCCAGCAATATAAAGAGATCAATAATTGAAGAGTCTTCACTCACCACCCAGAAAAAAAATCTATTTAACATTTATTTACTGCCAGCCTTTTAAATGGTATGCTATGAACATGTTCCTTTACTTTGCTTATTCCACATTTTTCTTTTCTTTGCTTTTTACAAATTTATGGTTCTCATCTATCTACCTATCATAGGTCCCATTAGATAAATGTTATAATTTATTCAATCATCCCCTTATTCATTTTTGATCTTCACTATTATAAACAATATCATAAAATCCTTTTACACATATATCTGATACATACCTCTGATTAGTTCCTTAAATAAATAATTGGAAGTTGGAATATTAAATCAAGGAGAATGGATGTGTATTGTCACTAGTATGCTAATATTCCATCTACTTCTCTTGATATGCACATCAAAAATATATCCAATTTTCCCAATATTTTCCAGTTTTTTCATTGTAATCTCATCCCCACAGTGAAGAAAATGCATCAATTAATTAATGACATAATTACAAGACAAATACATGAACAAATTAATGTTAACCTAAAAAGGTGTCATCTTTCTCATCTGTTTTGTGCTCACATTGCTTCTCAGGCAGTTGTGGTACAGGATAAACCACACTGGCTTCAAATTCAAAGGTTAGAGCTAGGACATTAATTTTGGACAAAGTGGAACAGGAGAAAGCAAACACTAGATCTTTCTTGGCAACTCAGAAGGAAAGATCTATTTATTTATTTTAAAGATTTATTTATTTATTTATACAAGATCTGGGGTCCAGGCCAGATTCGCAGGAGGGTGAGAGGATTCACCAGAGACAGAGCGGGGAGCAGAACAGGCAGAATGACGAAATACACTGCTGAGGGGAGCAGTGGGCACAATAGAAGAGGACTGTCCGCACCATGTGGGACCCTTGCTGCCTGGCCGGAATCGAATCGGTGCTGCAGAGGCTGTGGACAGCTTCACAGCACTGCGCTCAACCGCCTGCATCACCAGGGGAGGCCCAAGAAGGAAAGATCTTTAAGGAAATGTTCAAAACCTTAGTGTCCTCACCTTCAAGTGGATGATAATTAACTAATATATGGGGTTTTATACTATTGAATAATATATGTGAAAACTCTTCGTAAATGAAAAAGTGCCACAAAGAATAATTATTATGGCTAAATTTCCTGGAGATGAGAGCTTTCTGACCCCCAATAACCGTTGAGATAGGAAGTAGAGGAGAACCTCACAAACTGCTCTCCTTGGAGATATCCAAAGTTCAGAGTCAGCAGTGAGTCCAACTACTGTGAAAATTTACATCTAAGCACATGCTAGAAAACTCACACATGCACACAGGTCATGAGAACTAATCACAGAAACACACTTAGCAACTGAACACTTCGGAGGAATAACAAGCAGGAGGGTATGTGGTAGTCACCAGCTTGTTGAGGGCAGAGAAGTGGGAAGTGATGGGTCGAAAGATCAGCCTAACTGTCAGGTGTGAATGGAGCTCTACAACTCCAAAGAGTGTATGGGTGTTGTCCCAGATGAGCTGGAAACACAGTCACAGCCACCTTTGCCCCATCACCACTTTCTCCTTTGAGCAGCAGGAAGAGTAACAAACCAGGAGAAACACCCCAGAGAAATCTTAGCAGCTCCAAACACTGTCACCTGCCTTGGAGACCCATGACATTATTTTCCAATTTTGTTGGCAGCTCACCTTAAGCCTGCCTCCCCCACAGGTCTCCTCTACACACAGGTTGGCAAGTAACTTGTCCCACCCAGCTAGCTACCCAATTTCTCTTGAGAAGACTTTGAGCAAGAGGAGACTTTAAGAGAAACTTCAGTATTGAAGACAGAGAGGAGCACAATTTTTCAAAAATACAAAAAAAAAAAATAAAAAACAAAAACAATGTAGGGAGAGGGACAGTCAGGTCAAAGCTACAAATGGTTTGTGAAAAGGTTTCATGCAGACAAGTGGAACAGGAGAAAGCAAACACCAGATCTTTCTTGGCAACTGAGAAGGAAAGATCTTTAAGGAAATGCTCAAAATTGTGTGACTTAAATGAAGTGGAAGAAGTTGGCAAATTTGGTTTAGGTAAACAAAAATCTCAAACTGCAAACTATGAGGAAATTCTTTTCAAATATAACTAGGCATCTCCTGGTCTTTGGCCTCCATGTTCCCCTAGTACCTGTGTCTTTTTTTTTTTTAAGATTTATTTATTTATGCATACAAGAACTGGGGTACAGGCCAGAGGTGTGGGGGGTGGGGGAGGGAGAGGATTCACCAGAGACAGAGTGGGGAACAGAACAGGCAGATTGACTGAATTACACTGCTGAGGGGAGCAGTGGGCGAGACAGGAGAGGTCTACTATGCCATGTGATTAGCTCCCTGACCAGGGATCAAACTCGTGCTGCAGTGGCTACAGATAGCTTCATAATGCTGTGTCTTAACCCCTTGCACCACCAGGGAGACCCAATACCTGTGTCTTGACTCACCAGGAAGCCTCTTAGCTTGCCCAGGGGTCTTACCTTCTACCTGATCTTATCCCCATTTATTCTCCCTTTATAAATAAATCTCTACTGAAGTTGTTTCTTTAGTGTGTCTTTCTGTCTTTTACCCACAGGGGAAGAGCAGTCCCATCAACCTGAGACAATACGGGGCAGGTATTCCTCCAGAGACCTCCTGAGCAAAGCACCCAGGACTGACACATTCTGTCTGATGCCTGAGGGCTCTGAGATTTTCCAATGAGGAGAGAGAATGTCACCGTGGTGAGTGAGTTTGTTTTCCAGGGTTTCTCAAGCTTCCGTGAGCACCAGCTCACCCTCTTTGTCATGTTCCTTACACTGTACATTTTAACCCTGGCTGGCAACATCATCATAGTGACTATCATCAGCATTGACCATCACCTCCACACCCCCATGTACTTTTTCCTCAGCATGCTGTCTGCTTCAGAGACCTTGTATACACTCGTCATCATACCACGCATGCTCTCCAGCCTTGCCGGCATGGATCAGCCCATCTCCTTGGCTGGCTGTGCCACCCAGATGTTCTTCTTCATTATGCTGGCCATCAACAACTGCTTCCTGCTCACAGTGATGGGGTATGACCGCTACATGGCCATCTGCAACCCCCTGAGGTACACGCTCATCATGAACAAGAGCATGTGCACCCAGCTGGTGGGGGCTGCCTGCAGCATTGGGCTGCTGGTGGCCGTAATTCAGATTTCCAGTATATTCAGACTGCCCTTCTGTGACAGAGAGGTGGCTCATTATTTTTGTGACCTCCGACCTGTGATGAAACTGTCCTGTGCTGATACCACTGTGCATGACATAATTAGTTTTATCATCAGCTCACTGGTTATTGTGGTGCCCATGGGCCTGGTTTTCATCTCCTATGTCCTCATCATCTGCACCATCCTCAAGATCGCCTCGGCTGAGGGCCGGAAGAAGGCCTTTGCCACCTGCGCCTCCCACCTCACTGTAGTCATCATCCACTACGGCTGTGCCTCCATCGCCTACCTCAAGCCCAAGTCAGAGAACGCCAGGGATCAGGACCAGCTCATCTCAGTGACCTATACGGTCATCACACCCCTGCTAAATCCGGTGGTGTACACCCTAAGGAACAAGGAGGTCAAGGATGCCCTCTATCGTGCTATTGGCAAGAAATCTCTCGTCTAGGATTTTGGACAGTTTGACCTATATATATCCCATTATTCTCTGGGTATTTTGTAATCTCAAAATATTTCATCATCTACCTAGAGAAAGCCGCAGGATTTGGTGGCAAGGTAGCACTAAAAACTTAAGAGTTTCCTTAACTTAAATTTGTTTTTACCATCATTCTACTATAACCTTCCATCTGTCTCATAGGTTACCACCTGGGGAATGGGCAGACACTGCTCACATGGTGGAAGGCTAGGGAGGGAAGTAAGTAGGAGGGTGGCTGATTATCATCAGCTTTTGATGGCAGAGAAGTGAAAGTAATGTGTTGAAAGATCAACCTAAATGTCAGGTGCAAATGGAGCTCTAAAACTTCAAACAGAGCATGGGTGGTGTCCAGGATAGGCTAGGAACACAGTCAAAACCACCTTTGCCTGATCACCACTTTCTCCTTTGAGCAGCAGGAAGAGTAGCAAACCGGGAGAAACACCCCACGGAAATTCTAGCCGCTTCAAACACTGTCACCTGCCTTGGAGACCCATGACATTATTTTCCAATTTTGTTGCAGCTCACCTTAGGCCTGCATCTCCCACAGGTCTCCTCCACGCAAGGCTGGCAAGTGACTTGTCCCATCCAGCTGCCCAATTCTGGGCAGGTGTCTGTGCTTTTCCTGGGTAATGAATAGGGTGCACTGTGTACACATGTGAAAGGATAGATCAATTTTGAAATTAAATTTGTTTACTGGCATCCTCACTCCTTTCCAACTAATGCTTGCTGTCTGAAAGCTGGACGTGAGCTGCTGCTGGTTTCCATTACACCTCTGTGGGGCCTGCGCTGCTCCTGGGCCTTTGCCCTCTTCATCCACATTGATGGACTCGTCTTCCGTGAACAGTTAGGTGCCTGATTGAAACTCTAAGTCTAAACACTTGTCTAAATAAGAGCCTGGGAGGCTCCCAATTCATATTGTTATTACCTTCTAGAGGGGACAATTTTAATGATTTATGAGAAAGGTTTAAGATTTTAGGATTATTTGGTCAGGAGGGAAAAAAAAAAAAAGGCAGAGCTGGCTAAATATCTTCCAGTTTATAAAGGGTTCACGTAAAAAACAATAGCATGTAATCCACATCTCCCACCCACCCCCCACTCCTGTCCAAATGTGCCTGTTGAAATGCCTTGAAAGTGTTTGTCAAACAAAGTACCTGGAAAACCCTAATGGCAGAAGGGCCAAGTAGGAAATCGTCTCATTATGGAGCACCAGGAGAATGAAGGTGGTGCCTCCTCAGAGCAGCTGCTCCAGGAGAACAACCCAAGAGTGAGTGTGGAGAGGGTCCCCTCCCTCCCCGCCCTGGGTGAATGCCTTGTTTATCTGGGTTCCCTGAATGCCTCCAAATCTTGTCTGGGCTAGGTGCAAGGGATGCACTCCTACCTCCCTGCTCTGAAAAAAATCCTTTTAAGATTCTCTTTGGGGATCCAGTTGATGACAGCACCCCATTCCTGAAAAGACTGTCGCACCCGAGCTCCCCACTGCTGCACAGCACTATATGACGTGGCATTCATGCTGAAAACAGTGTGTTCCTACGGTCTGATACTGCAGAAAATGACGGAGCAATTCACCCAAAGTAATGTTTGCAACAAGGAATAATGTAGACTATGGCTTGGCCGGCCCTTGTCCTTCTGAAATGTCATTTACGTGATCTTAACAGAGCCAGGAAACAAAAAATGAGCCATTGCATTTAATTTCAAAGAGAAGGTGGGAATGATTATCAGAAAACACAAATCATGTCTCAGGAGAGGGCGTCCTAAGCCCACACCCTGGGCTTGGTCACCACGTAGCCATAATCTCTATGAATCAGGTTGTGCCAGGTCAGCAAGTTGCCACTGGGGCAGTAGGCACACATGTTCTTCAGGTAAAAAATCTTGTCCCACAAGGACACCTCCCATATCTCCCCAACAAAGGATTGTTTGGCGTCAAACCCTCCCCCAAAGGAATCCTGCTCCTGCCCCAGGAAGATCTTGGCCTCAGCACCCAAAATGTACCCCTTTCTCACACCCTTCCTCCCCAGGGGTTTCCCGTTCACCCACAGCTCAGCGATCCCAGAAGCTGATTCCCAGCTGACACACACATGAATTGGGGCATACGCAACCGGGGGGCCGTTGAACGTGACTGCAGAGTTCGCAATGTACAGCATGTACACTCCGGGTGCGTTAACAAAGAGGAGAATCTCGTTGTCCCGAGACCTGGTGCTGTAGGAGAAGAGGCTGTAAGTGCGCTTGAGGTCTGTGAAGGCTTTCATGCACAGCGTGAAGTTACTCAGTGACTTCTTTACCTTGGGGATCAGGGACACGTAGGCCGTGGTTGATTCTTGAGGGAAAATAAGTGATTTCCCTCTCAAGTCTGTGGAGTGGGGACAATGACAAACACTCTGTCAGTTCTTGCGGGGTGTGTCTCAAGTTCACAGAGTGCCCGCAGTGTCTCAGCACTGGAGGAGCAAAGGTTAGTGTTAAAAGGCAAGTTTGACTACTGCTGTCCTGTTAGAAAAGGGGAGCAAAGATGCCCAGTCTCAACCCCCAGTCCTGTCTTCTCCAGAGATTTCATCTGGCCGGGACAGCAAACCCAGCCACAGAAAATGAAACACACTGGAACTCATCAATGGTAACATGCGAGGCTCTCTACAGGCTCCCACCAAGGATCAGTCCTCAGATGACCCCAGGACTAACCAGGAGCTAAGGTTAGAGATGCTTGCCATGGCTCTTCTGGAACCATGCTGGGCCCCAGTCAAAGTGCAAAGTCAGAGTAGAAAGAACAGCGTGCCCTTCCCGTACCCTCAGCTCCCAGCTCCCACTCCTGTCCAGCAGCTCTGAGTGCCAACCCCACGGCCCTTCCCAGCACCCTCAGCCCCTGCTCCACCTCTGGAGCTCAGTGCCAGCTCAGGGCCCGGATTCCATGGCTTGCTTCCCCATGGCTGCAACATAAGGATTAAGGAATTACTTATCATTGATTTACTTCCTGTTAAGACCCTTGAGAGAAGACGCCTCGATCATTAGAAAATCAACTGTTTTTTCTTGCTCAGGAAAGCAAATCTAACAAATATTATGGTCTGGAAATAAATTAGAACATAATGACTAACTGAATCAAGGGAGGCATAGCCTACAAGCAGTATGAAGTCCTGTATTGAGTTAGTTTTGCTTTATACTAGGAAATGGAAAAACAGCATGGATTCCTATTTTCTTAAATACAAGGGTTTCTTAAGAAATGCTCACCCTGAACAAAGAATTGGAACAGAGCATTTATGGGAGAGGGCAAGAGGAAGAGATTACGCATATCAACAGGGAGAGAGGGAGGGAGGGAGAGAGAGAGAAAGAGAGAGAGAGAGAGAGAGAGAGAGAGAGAGAGAGAGAGAGAGAGAGAGAGAGAGAGAGAGAGAGAGAGTGTTTTAGTCACTCCAACAAGAATTTGGAGGATGGGAAAGTAAATTATATTCTGTGATTGACTTCTCCTGTGTGATTTGTGATCTTGCCAGTATATGAACCTGGAACGAAATAGCATGGTTAGCCAGAATGGTGTTTTGAATAACTTATTGCTGATAGTGATAAGGTAGGGAAGCATTTTCTTGAACTTGAGAAGATGAAAATTCCATATTTCCTTATGGAATTAATAGAAAGGAAAAAGCAAGAGCTGCCAGAATATTAAAGTCTTTTTGCTGTCAATCAAAATTAACTTTTCATAACATTAACACATCATAAAGTACACTTTACATTTACCTGGCCTCATTCATAAAGTACACTTTACCTTTACCTGGCCATAACAACTCTTAGTAAGATTGAAGTTATTCCTATCCCCATTTCATAGATGAAGAAACTGGGCATCAGTGCTCAGCAACTTCACAAAGTTTGGGAGAAACTGGTTCTCTCATTTAGAGTCTAAGATCCTTCTATGATTTCCTCTCGTGTGCAGCCTAAGGATGGAGGAGGATCAGAACATGAACTACCAGCCCCTGTAATAGCTTCCATTTTTCTAATATATGCTTCACATTCTTCTTAGTCTCTTGGGTGAGAGGTGTTTCCATGTCATCAGCAAAGCCAGATTCCCTCCTCCAGCCCTGGGGCTTCCTTATGCCAGGCACAGCCTTACTCATCAGCATCTGTGCTGATTTCAAAAATATCTGAAAATAATGCTTCTCTCCTTGATTGCAGGCTGACTTGCTGCTAACAAATAGATGACTGCAGAACTGTGACTCCTCAGATTAGATGTGGGAGACTTACTTATGTATAGGGCACTTTCCCTCTACATGGGTCACTTCTCTCTTGGAGAAGCCAGCTCCTTTGCAATAGGAACCAAGAAAAGCTTCTGACCAAAGGCCAGCGAGGAATGGAGGGTCTCACCCCAACAACCTATGAGAACTGAGTTCTGGTAATCATCAGGCAAGTGAGCATGGAGGCAGATCCTGCTCAGGCAAACCTTCACATGAAATGGCCGCCTTGATTCAGTGAGACACCTTGAGTCAGAATCAGCCAGTTCAGACACTGCCTGGTTCTGACCCACAGGAATTGAGTTCTCCCAGGGACTGTGAGATGCCATGTGGTTCCCGACCACAGGAAGTATGAGGGTCTCTCTGTCTCCTGATCACAGCTGTGTGAGATAACAAGTGTTTTGGGTATTAAATTTTGGGGCAGCCATAAGTTACTTAGCTCCTCATCCACATCTTCCTCTAAACAGCATCAGAGAAAACAATAGAGGGTGCTGTCCCCCATGTCTCTGGGGACTTGGAGGGAAGGTTTTCCCAGTGAAGTTCAGTACCAACCTCCTGGAAGTGATGCCACCTCTGAGAGAAAGGCCAGGAGCAGGGTGCCCAGAAGAAGCGTCTTCATTGTGTCCTTCTTGGTTTCAGGAACAGTGAGAGGGTAGCTGGAGCAATGGAGGGATGTGCCCTGTTGGCTGCTTATATTGTGTTTTGGGGGCATGGCCTCTGATCCAGCGGCAGAAGGCAAAGTTATAAATGGTAAACATTAACCAAACCAAGATATTATTTAGAAATGTGTTTGCTTTTTGGGCTATTGTTTCAGTCGGAGGGTCTTCTTTTTCTTTTAGTGGCTCTGTTTCCTACTGAGTCATACTATTCATGTCCCACAAAGGGTCTCTGTGTTTTCTTAAGGGGACATCTAATAACCTGATATGCATAAGAAGCTGTGGCATTTCTTGTTAGTTCTGTGTGATGAGTGCACCTGTCAACTGCTGCTGGAGCCACCTCCTTTGTGTGTAGGGGTTGGGGTCACCCCAAGACTAAGGACATTTCCTGATTCCAGTGACAATAGCTTTAAAATAGTGAAATGAATAGTATTTACATTTTTACCCTGTCGTTTTATTTATTTATTTAATATATTTTTTTGCATCATTTTTCATTTTTGCACAATGTATGCATTTTCATCTTGGTTATCATCAAGACAATTCTAACATTATAGTAATAATAAATCATTCTTCCAGAATATTGTGAGAATTCTGAAGAAAAAAATAGTGAAATGGAGACTGCCTTGCCCATGGCAGAAATGGAGAGGTAACTCTGCATTTGATTAAGTTGCCAGGTTGTCCATAAAGTCATTTCTGGGTGTTAGGTTAAGATGATGCCCTTTACCGGGATCAGGACATCAGCTAGGAGATTAGGAACTCAGAGAAGGTGACTTTGAAGATTATAAACTGAGCACGTCCCAGAAAAGCTTGGGATAGTACCTGGGATCTGGAAACAGTATAGCTATGCTACAAACTAAATCTATGGTTTTCAAACCTGACAATTTATAAACATTTTATCCTGGAATATTATTCTCTGTCCCTAATAACAACTATTTTTAAGTTATTGTAACTTTTTTTACTCATCATACATTATAAAACTTTTAAATCTATGAACATATGGGTCATGTATGTTTTCCCTAAAATTTAATCTCCAGCATCTATCACCATGATTACTTTATATTAAAAGTCCAAAATCTACTTATGAAATGAACTAATTGGGGTATTTCTAGTTGATGAGAAGAGCTAACGGAAGTTGTCTAAGTTAAGGCTCTTAGTGGTTAGCAATAAAAGGCATATTTCTACTTAATTATGTTATGCAACAAACTTCAAAATTCAGATTTTAAAACAAAAAATATGCATTTAGTTCATGAGTCTGTGGGTTGATGATTTGGGTTTAATGATTCTTTTCATATATCTGGGTGATAAATAGCAAGTTAGCCACTTGCTGGACAGTGAAATCATATGAGTCAGAAAGGGGTGACCCGAATTTTGAGATCTTGGTCTATTTGTGTAATTTTAAATTGGCTAAATCAATCTTGATTTCTCTTTCTTTTAAATTTAAAACTACATCCGTAGTATTATAACATTAAGAATTTTCTAAAGAATTTTAAAAATAATTTTTCTTAGCACTTTTGTTTTTTTATTTATTTTTTATAAATTATTTTATTTTATATAATTCTTACATCATTTTTCATTTTTGCATAATGTATGCATTTTTATTTTGGTTATATTTCCCATACAATTCCTACCCCCCTTCTTCTGACCCTAATTCCTCTTCTCCTCCACCCACCCCCCACTGTAGTGTGTCTCTGGTCTATAGTTGCTTGTTGATTTTGATTTTTACTTTATTGAAATTTGTTTTTCTCCTGTTCCCTTATTTGGGTTTTCTAAATTTGAATAATATAAAACAAACAAGCTATTTTCATAAAATGTTACTTTAGATCATTATATTACAATTAAAAGCTGCATAGTGTTAGTTATATATCTAAAAAAACAAACTTGACTTACATTGAATAAGTACTCCATATTACTGAATTAACTTTAAAACCATTATAAAAGAAAAAGAACATAATTTATGGAAAGAGTAAGAATGACATTTTATAGATCATATTTTACTTGGGGAGAAAAATAAATGCATTAAAATGAAGATTGAAATTTAACTACTCACTAAATCAGAAATAGAGTACAAAAATTTCTGTGATAATTTTGATTTGTGTTTCTGATGTTTAAGTCTAAACACACACACACCTTTAAAAAAAAAATACTCCTGTTTAGCTTCCAAGTACTTACTTGGAAACTAAGGACATGATGTGCTATAGAATATTTATTAGATTGCTAACTCCTTGGCAATCACTATGGATCAATTTAAAAAATAGAATACAGAAGTAACTTTAAAATCATACTATATATTTATAAATACAGACATATGTGCTAATATATAAACTTGCAAAGAAATAATATACCACAGACTCAATAACATGGCTGAAGAGGTTCTATTAGCACCTTTAAAAAATATTCTCAACATACAGGTGTGATTTTTCAACATAATCTTACCTGAGAAAGATACCTGGAGAAGAAGAGGAGGAGGAGGAAATGTTCTTGGGGACTGCTAACACTCAGAGAATTGATAAACCATAGAATTCTCCCTGGGGTAGGAATGCCTGCCCCAGGCTCAGCAGAATTGTGCAAGGATGTGCTACGAGAGAACAGCAGGAACCTGGTCACCCTGGGATCTGGGTCTCTAAGTGCACCCTAGTCACCTTCTGGGAATAAACAAAAAAGCCCTGCGAAGTGAAGAGAAAAGACACACAACCACACACCTAGGTTATTTGCTCATTCCAAGTCTGTGCTTATAATATAGATGTTGCAACTCACTGGTCTGGAGATTATGGAAGAACTCAGTCTCAAGTGGAGTTACTTGGGGATTCATGTCCCTCTTGGATCAGACCTCAGCATTTCCACTCGCCTCCACATTTATCTCCAGGGGTGATAGAGACCAGGGAACCCCCAAAATCCTTAACAGTTCCTTCAAAGTTGTGTAGCTCTTAATAGAAAGTTGTCATTGTCTTGGGAAGTAATAATTGAGAAAAATGTTTTATATTCTTAGTTTCCCAAGTCTGTGAAATAGCTGAGATTCTTTACCTTTATGCCAAAGGTTTTGAAAAATGGTAGTTGCTCCAAGACCCTCAGTGAATGCCTAAAACCAAGAATTATACTAAATCCTAAATATACCATCTTTTTACTGCATACATATTTGTGTATTTATCAGTTTAATTTATAAATTAGTTATAGTAATAAATTAACAAAAATAACTAGTAATAAAATAAAACAATTGTAATAATATACTATAGTAAACGTTACATGATTGTGGTCTCTTTTTCTTCCTCTCTAAAAATACCAAAATACCCCCTTTTTGGGTAGTGTTAAAACTTTGACAATCAATGGTTAATTCTTATCCACATTGTAGATTTTTCAACTAAGTGACAGGTACATAGGTAACCAACATATACAGCTTGTTTTTGTGAAACTTCATCCTCATTACATTTTCTTACTACACAAGGATACAGCATAGGGCATTCCTTACTCCTTTGACTTAGACAACTTTGTAAAGTGTGGTGTCAATGGACACATCTGGAGTGCCCATGTCCTTCATGGAAATTTCTAGATCTCGCTGGGTGTTCAACCTGCTCCTTTGATGTGCTCATCATGCGGATGGTGTCACCTCTGGTCATTCACAGATGGCAGAAGGGCCCTTTTTCTCACCACCCTTCTTGCAGGAGACATTCTGTCAGGCCCAAATACCCAATATCTTACTGTAGTATTCTTGGACCACAGATAATTGAAACTATGAAAAGTGAAATCATGGATCAAGGGGAGTTACTGTATCTCTCAAGTTCAAAGCAAACCCTAGATTACACCTGGCATGTTATTGCTATGTCTCTCAAGGCTTCTTTTGAAATTCAGAACAACTCCCCAGTCCTCCTTTTTGTTCTTGAGATGCTATTTTGAAGAGTATTGTAGAATGTCTCTTAGATTCCCCCGATGTGTCCCTGTAACCAGATTTAGGATATTTCCTCCCCATATGGGCACTATACCAGGCACTGGAATCACAGTGCAGATTGAGACAAGGGCTCTCTCCTTAGAGAATGGATATTCTGGACGGAATTTGCACACCTTTGGAAAGGATTGCTCACAGGAGAAATGACTGTGGCAACACTGGAAAGGGCTAGCCTTCTTCTTTTTAGTCCCATTCAACTGGACAAAGTCTGATGGGGAAGAACTCTCACTCATACACACAGAATCCTAGAGATGAACTGGGTTCCTGTGGAGATGCTGAATTTCTTGTTCTCAAAGGACAGTCTATTACAAGAACCAACATTTGACCTCTGTCAGGACAGATCCCTTTGTTTTGAAAATGACCTATTCTCCACACTCCAGGAAAAATATAAATTCTAATCAGCCTCATTAGATCTGTAAAATATAAACATTTTACAGAATAAAAACAGTACATTCTTTTTGAAATGTTATTATAGAGATTAAAAGTGGTAATACAGGAAATGCTATGCCTAGTATTTTCTAAAAGCTTAATAATTACTGATCATTGTACATTTGAAAAAAAGATTATGAAGTTATTATTTTTCAACAAGTAAGTTCACTAAATAAGACTTTCAAAAGTAAGGTAAACTCGGAAGGAAGTTTGCACTAATATTATTAAGCTATACTTCAACTACAGCAATTATAAATTTATACATTTAGTGAGTGAATGTCAAGGTTGCAGGCACAACAGTTTCTATAAGTGCAACTTCTGGGTGCCCTGGCTCAGGCCAGTTGGAAGTATGACTCCTTTCTATTCTAGGTATGTTGATGGACCTGGCTAAGCTTTAGTTGAACTCAGAAGAGTATTAAGGTTCTGTTTAGGAACAAAGGTAGATTTGCTGGAAAGCTGGTAAAACCTAAACTTCTCTCTCATTTGCACAGATTTCTTACAAGAAACCATTTTTCTCATTCAGGCAAAGCCTGACCCCTCCCCTTGTTAGATGACTGTCTAGAGAACTCAGGTCAGCTGGTTTATTTGATGGAAAAT